TTTGTACTTCTGGACATGAATTTTACTTTCACACTTTCATTGTATAATTTGTACTTAAAAATTAATTCTATTACGTTATGACACCTCGAAAAAGATAATAATAATTATTGCAAGTGATATGATAACCCTAAATACCTTTCGTGCAAAGTTCAACTATGTTTCATGTAACGAAACCAAGTGTCCGGATACTTATGGACGGTAGTGTATATCTAGGAAGTCTAGGAACATGTAGGAATCTAGGAATACATCTGGGAGTCTAGAAACACTGATATTTAAAAATGTAGAGATCTCCACAATTTTGAAACACGTAAAAAACTTGTGGATATACAGATGTAGAGGTCTACAGTTCCAGAGATATAAAATGTATCCAGGGGAGTAACTCTCCACGTAACAAACTCAGAAATTGACAGTATAAGTAATACATACTTCAACGTACAAATCATCCAGCGTGTAAAGACCGATCGTGTTTTTTAAATCGCCATTAAATCGTCCGGAATGAAAAATTACGTAAACGTAGAACAATCTCTGCATTAAACCTGAACGTTCTCGAATCGTTGGATGATACAAGTTCAGAAAAACGCGTGGAACAAACGATTATGTGGAGGGAATAATGGGCACGAGGGAGCGTCGATTGAAAATTGCAGGATCCTCCGGTTGCAAATTGTCCACGGCTTACTCGCCACGGTACACGGTAAACTGTACAGAATCTCTCAAAAGATATACATTGTAAAGATTCAAAGTATCATTTTGTAAATATCCCGGTCATGTGCTTAAAAAGCGCTGGTCTTAATGTCTTGTTGCTTCACTTGACCATGTTGTTGATCTTCTCTATGTTGTTTTGTAGTCCTTTGAAGTGAAGTTCATACGTTCTTTAAAATGAAACAGTAAAGAGGCTTTTAAATTTCCTTCGACATAAGTTCGCAATTTTTAATGTACACATTGTGTTTGAACCATCCTGTATAATGACACTGAGAACCATAGATGCACACGGATGGAGCTGTAGGTGCAAACACGCGGATTTCGCAAATCTTGATGACCATCAAATGGCACCGATGCACTTAGAACTTCTCTCAAGTCTTATTCAGCAAATATGACTTGATGTTTCATTAAACACATTTCTCTTTAAATTGACTTATGCGACACACACCCTGTAAACTAAGAACCGTAACATACACACACCCTTTTTAGATTTGCGTATAAAATCTTCGTGATTCCACTTTGTGTGTCCATGAGAAATTGAATGCTAGGATTTATTTCCTAATCCTCGCGTGCAGACGCTTCTAATGAAATCTAAAGGTCAGCAACAAATCTTCTGCGTCTACACGGTTTGCATTGCGTGCAAAATATTGAAAATAATCGACGGTAAATGATCGTCAAAAGGGTGTTCCAAGAAATTTTCAAAAATTTCAATGCTGGCACGAAGAGCTCGTGAATTTTCTCACGTACACCCTTTGATCCTTGGAACACCGGTCGCCTTCAGCCTCTAAAGACGTTGAAAAAGATTGCAACGTGTTACTCAACTTTTCTTATATCTCGTTATGTCTGTTACTTGGGAGCCCATATCTGTCCCCGCAATTCACGTATCTTCACTAAACGATGCGCTCATAGTATGTAGAGTGACATCATGGGAAGATGGACATCGGTGTTGAATCATTAAACGTTTTTCCTGCGTGCTTTTTTCTTGTGATGAATGGACGAAGTTAGTAGGAGGTCGATTTGACTATTGACAGCTGTTGTTTGAGTACCTATTATCTTGGAACGATTAAAGAAGTCTAGGTTCTATTCTGGGATTTTGAAGGAAAAACTACTTCATCTGAAGTCTAAACAAATCGTTCAGTTGACTCTAAAGTCGATGGTTAACTCATATCTATATCTTCACATTTTCAGGTACAAGTTTTTACATTGCCAATCTCAAGGGTCCAAATTTCCATATTTCCAGATTTCCAGTTTCTCAAATTTCTACACCCTATATTTCCATATTTTCAAATTTCCATCTCCCCAATTCCAACATCTCGGATTTCTTACACCCTCAAATTCTCACGCCCCATATTTCCATATTTCCAGATTCCCACGTCCCCAATTCCAACACGTCGGAGTTCTCACATCCCCAAATTCCCACCTCCTCAATTTTCAATATTTCCAAATTTCTATCTCCCCAATTTCCCATATTTCCAAATTCCCACCTCCCCTAATTCTCACACCCCACATTTCCACATGTCCAGATTCCCACCTATCCAACTCCAACATCTCGGACTTCTTACACCCCCAAATTCTCACGCCCTATATTTCCATATTTCCAGATTCCCACGTTCCCAATTCCAACACGTCGGAGTTCCCACATCCCCAAATTCCCACCTCCTCAATTTCCAATATTTCCAAATTCCTATCTCCCCAATTTCCCATATTTCCAAATTCCCACCTCCCCAAATTTCTACATCTTCTAATTCTCACACCCCATATTTCCACGTGTCCAGATTCCCACCTCTCCAATTCCAACATCTCGGACTTCTTACACCCCCAAATTCTCACGCCCTATATTTCCATATTTCCAGATTCCCACGTCCCCAATTCCAACACGTCGGAGTTCTCACATCCCCAAATTCCCACCTCCTCAATTTTCAATATTTCCAAATTTCTATCTCCCCAATTTCCCATATTTCCAAATTCCCACCTCCCCTAATTCTCACACCCCACATTTCCACATGTCCAGATTCCCACCTATCCAACTCCAACATCTCGGACTTCTTACACCCCCAAATTCTCAAAGTCCATATTTCCACATTTCCTAATTTCCACCTCTCCCAATTCCCACATCCTAGTTCTCGCACCCCCCAATTCCTACACCCCAAAATTTCCGCATTCGCCAATTCCGTCCCCGCAAATTGGAAAATTGTACGTCAGTGAATTACAGCGGCGCCCCTGCGTCACAGTCTGGTTAACGTCGCGCGACTGGAGAGATGGCGGATAATCCGAGGAGGTTCTTTGTCGTTCTCTCGTAATGATATTCCACTTTGTTAACGACGGCTGCAAAGTCGGTAGCCATGATCCGTTTCCACGCACCGGTGCGCTCGGCTCGCGGCATCGCATCGCAGTCGTCACGCTGCTAAATCCAACAAACACGTCCGAAGCGAGGATGATGATCCCGCGACGCGCAATTCCTTCCATCATCGTTCGCGATCGTTTCGAACGATCCTCGTTGCAACACACGACCCCGACACGCTCGATGGATCATCTAGGATTTCGTGGATTTAATTGTTCTTAATGATGTTCCGCCGTAAACGTGTCACGTACGTATTATGATTGCCATTCAACATTCTACTACATCGGGAAGACTTGACACCAATAATCGAGTCTATTACCGTCTATTGCATCAGTTTGATATTCAAATTTCTTTCGCAAGAGTCATGATTAAACTCGAGCAACTCTAATGGTACAACGTTATCGATCACTGTAACCCTCATCCACGACAAAGCTAAATTCTGTCGGTAATAAATGGAAGTAGGGCCGTAAGAGCTACAACCCTATTGCGAAATGTTAGGATGATCAAATGGTTAGATAGATTTCGAAAATCGTAAGATGATTCCCATATCGTCAGATTATTCATCTTGTAACGAAGAGTATTTACGATCATTTTTGTTCAATCTTAAAATTAGATCAATTTAACCTTTCAACCCCCAATGTATGCCTTTCTATTTTCGAAATCGATTTGATATACAACCTAGTGGTCTGATTTTACAACATCGACTTCTTTGAGCAAAAGTATCTCGAACGGATATGACAGGTCTACTGACCCTGTCGAAGTCGACAATGACCCAACGTCGAGATCCGATTTCGATATCAAGAACAATATCAATTATTTACGGAATGTGCGACCTTTTCGTGACACGCTCTAGAGATCTTCCTTTCTTCCCGTCACGAGAAGTCCTCGAAAATCGTGACTTCTAAGTTGTCCAAGGTCCAGCTTCAAGGTTACACAGCTAGCTTCCCAAAAACCGAGGTCGCGAGGAACCGATGATCTGCAACGAGATCGAGATCGAAGGGTAGTCGTGTGGAACGATGCTTACTCTTTGATCGGTCAGTCTATTGTTGCGGTGCTCGCCGCTGTCGGATATTCTGGACTTGTATATTTTTTAGATTTATCGATTAAGAAAAGAAGGTTGTTATTTAAAATCTGATGTAAGCATTATTTTTGAAAGTTTGAAATTTATTTGGAAATTTGAAAAATTTCTGAACTGATACGAAGTGTACAAGGTATTCTAGAATTAATAAATCGGTGACATTGAAATTCGACAACTTATTTTCAGTTTCAACATCTTCAATAAATTTTGACCTATTACAAGTTATATCTTTATATCTTGAATTTTTAATCTAACCCAGTAATTTATAATTTAGAAGAAAGTCCCCAGTGATCCCTGTTTGATTGCAGATCAAAATCCCATTGAAAGTGAACTTCTCCGTCAGGCCTAAGGACATTTCAATAACGATCACGAAGAAACACTTGACCTGCGGTATAAAGGGTCAACCACCTATCATCGACGGTGATTTCCCGCACGAGGTCAAGGTCGAGGAATCCACCTGGGTGATCGAAGATGGAAAAATGTTGCTGCTGAATTTGGAGAAGGTGAGTGACGGAAAGAAAAATCGCGCTCGGATGTCTCTCGATTGTTGACCTTGACGAAACAAGGATTCGACGATGACTATCATCGAGTTAACATAAATTTTGATCAAAGGTATCAAATACGCGAGGAATCTGCTTGTCTGACGTGGCCCTGAAGGTTCTCAAAATAAGAAAGTTTAGCGAAGGTTGAATCGTGACCACTCGACGAGCAGCTGTTTACCTAAAATTCTATCGACTTGTCTCGTTTAGAGTTGTTGTTGCCAGTCTGTTAATTATATCATTCGTTTTATCGCCGGACATCAATATTTCGCTGTCGTGTTTGTGTCGTACGTGAATTCGTTGCATGGCCACTTGTATATTTTCCTATTTTTTATTTTAGAAAGTTCTTGGCCTTTCACTGGTTTCAGACCGGTATTATATAAAGCACTAATTAAGTATTCCGATTATTTTGTAAGATTCGTTGTGATCTTTGCAATGAAAATTATTTATGTTCGCGCGGAAATATGTTTCTATTAAGCACGCGGACTGTCGATTTGCAGGTGAACAAAATGCGATGGTGGGCACACGTGGTGACAACCGATCCAGAGATTAGCACGAAGAAAGTGAATCCCGAACCCAGCAAGCTGTCCGATCTTGACGGTGAAACCAGAGGTCTGGTAGAGAAGATGATGTACGATCAAAGACAGAAGGAATTAGGTTTGCCAACATCCGACGAACAGAAGAAACAGGACGTGATAAAAAAGTACGATTCCGGTGACATCGATCGAACCAGTGATAATTTCATTGCAATTGCACATTTAATTGCACCTGTTTTTTCAGGTTCATGGAGCAGCATCCTGAGATGGACTTCTCGAAATGCAAATTCAACTGAATTGTTCCAATTCGATGATCGATCGTTGGTCAAAAGTTTCGTTAAACGACAAAGGAAATTATATTATCAACTACGTTGAAGGAATCCAACGAAACTCTTATGATATCATCTCGTTAATTATCTCGACTTTATCTGCACCTATCTCTGATACTCGTTCGCTACCAGGTTCGAAGAAATCACCGTTCGACGAGAGGTGGCGCCACGTTCCACGGGAAAAGACCTCTTTCTCGTTCGTTCGCTTCTTTATCGTCTGTTATCGCTCCGCTTTTTATTTGTCACGAGTTTCGATAAACAGGAGCAGTGTCGTGTTGCACAAAAGTGTTTCATGATTTTTTCACATTACGTTTCGTATTATTGGATAATAAAGAGTTTAGAGAAAAAGAAACAATTCTGGATTATTTTCTCGTGCGGGTCGCTCAGGAGCGAAGACTCAACCTGGTCCCTAGTTACAGAATAAAATTATGCTGCCATTTTTCTTTATGTTCATATTACCGAGGTGTATAAAATACGACAATTTTTCATTGTACAAAGTGATGTAAATTAGAAACTGATAAACGACATTAACCTTAATAGAAACTGTTCGATCAATTACAGTCTTTCAACTTGCACTCAATTGTTCCTTAAAATTAGTTCTAGTCTTTCGCTTGCTAGCAGCACAATAATCAGATTCTATGCACAATGTCCTCAGTTTTTAATTATAATCATCTTTCATCACTCTGCTGATCCAACGCACGTAATTCGACAGTCTGGCGTATATCCCGAACTTCCCACGTTTCCCACAACCCTCCCCGAAACTGGTGATCCCGAAAATGGTCCAGGGATGATCGGGTCTCCTGGGATCGCGACAGAGAAGGGGACCACCGCTGTCTCCTGCACAGGAGTCCATTCTTCCTCGACGATATCCTGCGCAGAACATGTTGTCCGTGATCCTGTAGTCCACGTAGACGTCGCGACATGCTTCTGTAGACACGATAGGTATCTGGAAAAATTGAGAAATTGAAAGGAAATGTTTGCTAACGAATTGTAGTTTCGCGAGTTTTCTAATCTGAACTGTAATCATAGAGCTCTCTGAACTGCACTCAATTTAGTTGTAAAAAATATTTGATTACATGCAACTTTTGAAACCTGATAGTGTAAGGTAATTAAAGATCGCTGTAAGAAGATTAGATCAGATAGAAATAGCGTGGCTTTGAGAATATAATTAAAAGAATTTGTAACATGTGAACGAGACGTACTCGAGCTTCGTGAAGAACATCGGTACCAAAGTCGTCCGTGACTCGTGACTTTCCCCAGCCGATGATTGTACACAGTTGATTGGCGGGTAGAGGCTGGTTAGGCGCCGGAAGACATGCGACTCCTCTCGACGGCGAGGTAGTCAGCGTGACTGGGAGACGCAACATCGCGATGTCATTATCCACTGTGTCCACGTCGTATTCAGGATGTACCGTTACTGAATCAACCTGAGGAGATATCGTTTAATTAGCCGACAGTGGAAACTAAGAACTCTGCAGTTAAGAGCTTGAAGATTATTTTTGTTATAATTGAGGAACATGTACCCTTAGTTCTAACTCGGTACCCTCTTTCACCGTCAAATCGTGTTCTCCGATACGAACGTAGAGACGCTTTCGAATACAGTGCGCGGCAGTCAGCACCCATTTTGGAGAAACCAGGGTACCTCCGCAGAAAGCTTCCTATAGAAATATAATTTTATTAATACTGAAAGTTGGACATTATCTTCGAAGAATATTCTAATGCTATTTGATACCCTAGATGTGAAAGTACTTACACGGAATCTGTTCAAGACTGCCACCTGCCAGGGCCAGCTACCAGGAATCGACGGACGTCCACCGATAATCCTCGTGAAATACGACAGCCTGGAAGTCTTTTGCGTGCCCGTTACCCCACATTTCCAGTTATGAGGGCTCTTCTCAAGAATCGCGCTGCTCACGTCGTTGGAGCTGCTCAGTTCTAGTACGATGTCTATAAATAACGCGAATATTAGCGAAAAAGAAAACGAAGTGAAATTGTTGTACAAGCTAGTTGCAAGTCACCGTCGCTATCTTCTTCCTGGCTTCTGCGGATTTCTTGGTCAATCCATCTTTGGCAGTAACTCCCCTCGACGTAGCAATAGGCACTCTCCCTGATCACGTCTCGCACACAAATTCCAGGCTTCTTGCACCACCTTAATTAATCGAGACTAATGAGAATTGATTTCGTAGTTGATAAACGAAATGAGAGATCATTAGCGCAGGTTTACCTGTGTCGTTGAGTTGTACATAGTCTTGTGCAGGGTGACCACTTGCTCCACTTTCCATAATATCCTATCGACTGGTCCTTGATGTCCTTGCCTCTTCGTCTCCCTTGTCTGGGCTCTGCCTCCTTTTTGGGTAACTAGTATTTATAATTCAATGATAAATTATACTACATATGAGATTAATAAACCTTCGTATTATGAAATTTGTACAGTTTTGAATAAGATGTTTGCTCGTGGTCGTCAGAATTTTACCTGCACTACGTGAAATCTATCCTTTCGTCGATGTCCGCGTCGCTGTCGTTGCTTGCATCTCCTCCATCTTCCTTTTCTGTTGTGTTGACAGGAACGTTCTTCCTATAAAGCATTCGATCGAATCGTGAAATATCATAGAATCTTGGAAACTTTAATTTTATAAAATTTCCTTGTCACTTACTCTAAGTATCGTGGTTCCACATTTTTTCTTCAGTCGACACCTTCGAACGCGATTCTGCGTGCAGTGTCGATCGCACACCGACCATTCGCTCCAGTTTGTATAGTACGATAATTTTGTGGATTCTGTAGAAACAAAATATTGCGTAGTAACAATGGTACACCATTGAACTGTATATACAGTTCTAAAACACAGTTAGGAAAAGAACAAAAAGCTTACTGTTCTTTGGTAATTGTCCCACAAAAGAATCTTGATTAGTCACGTGCAACAAGCTCCCGTTATTGCCTCCATGGAGAACGAACGTTCTATTTCCACTCTGAAATTAGTCCAAAAGAAAGATCAATTAATCATCGGTGCCTAAAAACGAACAGTTCAGGCTGCCAGAGTGACTCGCTATGATTAAGACTCAGTATGTCTTTTTCATTAAGACATTACTACGTATGCCGATATAAAAGGGAACGTATCTCTCGTAGGTACAAGTGTATTAGCGTTGCAAAGTGCGTTTTTCTCCTTTGATCAACATCATGGACAACGATCGCTAATCACGAATGAATCATAAAAATGACAAGTGGCAAAACAATTTTATTGTGCTGCATGCGCACGACACGTGGTGAGATCGTAAAAAGAGACAAAGATTAACTGCCGCAAAACGAACTAATGAACGCGGTGTCACATCGCGTGAATTCCAATTGACGTATTAATTCTTAAAACGATTTTCGTCATTTACGCTGACACACGGTTAAAGTGTTAACGCGACGTTCGAATGCAAGGCCATACATTTTATACGTTTCCGCTTCTAAAACTTCGGAATTAACTGCAAGACTACGCTAATTTTTTAAATACACCGCTCGAGGATATCCGTTTAGCCTAACCCTGGGTGCGTCTGAAATTGATCTAACTTATCGAGCAATATAGACTCCCATATCGCTGAGAAACGGAAAGCTCGTAAACAAGAAACCTCGTAAAGCAGGTCTCCGCATGTGAGGATCGTTCGTCTCGAAGACAGAAACGATCGCAAAAACGATCGAACAATTACTCGTTCTTGAGCAGAGAGTTAATAGACCAGTCCTTGTCGACGTTGCTGACGACCGACTCGAATATCGTCCAGCATTCTCAAGGTTGTAACTAACTTTTAACTCAATTTGTCGACTCATAAACGTAACCACCGGCGTTGCACAATATCATCGTGTTCAGATGCGTAGGCATCGCGAAATTATCATTCCTCCTTACTTTAAATTGGAGACACGGGCATTGGAAATGTGGTATAGGTATCAGGAGGTGTATGATTTTGAGAATGTGAGGAGAAGCAAAGAATATGGGGACCTAGATGTCTAGGAACTTAGAGATATCTGATATATGAAACGTGGAATATGTCGATGCAGATATCAAGAGATATGGACATATAGGAATATAAAGAATTAGGAAGAATGTAGAAGGGAGGTCTAAGAATGTACAAGTGTAGAAGTATAGGAATACAAGGATCTAGAGAACTGGGAATTTAAAAATACACTTCGACAATATCGTTTCGTGTTAATAGTACAAGGATTCGTGATCGATGGCCTCGTGAATTAATAAAAATGGATCTGGCACGTGTGGATCACACCCTCGAATCACGACCCACGTTGCTCATTATCCTAGACAATAGACCAATGAAACTTGAAAAGACGTTACCTCATCCAGGTCGACCGTGTTGGGACATCGAAGGGTCGATGTGACGTAAGGGGTTGACTACGGACTATATAATTATCTTTATTGAGATTGCTGGTGAAGACGATGTCAATTATAGAACACTTGCAGGGAGTATTAAACGCGATTTTCGTCTAGTTACGAAACATCACATGTTGAACACATGTACTCAATGATCATGTTTTTCCATAATTTTCCACTCGTATCGAGTATAAAAAATAGTACTTTATGAAGACATTTGCATTTAAATCGCCCTGTTTCTTGCTTTCATTATGAAATTCCGACTGCATTCTGTTACGGTAAGCTCAAGCGAAATCAATTAAGAACGAGTGAAACCGAAAATGACCAAATATGCTAACACATGTAATGATTTTCCTAATGTGCGCGTAAAATTTCAGACACGTCTCGCGCAGACGACGTTCGACAGCGTTGACGAAATAAATTTGATTTAACGTCGTAGGAACGTTCGTGAGACAACGTGTAAAACGCATAACGATTACCTCGAAAGGAAACCGTGTTTTACCTGCGCTAAAAGCCAACAATCGTGAACATCTGACCTCGAGTTAAACGAAATCGAGCGACCGGTGCGATTTCAAGAGAATTCTGATTGGATTCCTCCGTTTCTGCAAAAGCGTCTCGATGCCGCGATACCGGTCTACGAAACGATACGAAATCTCAGAATGTTTAAACGAGTTACAATAATTTTGTTGTTGCCGTTCGAGTTTATGATCCGGTTAGCGAAGAGAACTGGCGCGTCTCGCGTATGTAAGCGGCAGCCAGGGTTCAGGGTTAACAATATTTTCGTATTATACAATTAATTTCTTCGTGCTCCGCAAAATGAAACAGGTTCTCATTTCCTTTTCTCGTGTTTCGAATTCTTCCCCGTATTTGTACGTTTTAATAACATCTTGATGTAAGAAAATGTATAAAGTTGTTCTTGAGTAATTATTAGTATCAATTGAGCGTGGATCGAGAAGTGGGTTATGTCGAGAAATGTAGGACCAGAAAATATGTATTCGTGACGAAGGTGTGTACTTTATTTTTATAGAAAAATAGACTTTTGCATGCTTAGGAGTGGTGACAGAACAATTTCTACCGATGACAAACGCTAGGTCGAAAGTCTAAGTCATTCAAGGAACAAAAAGGCGAAAGTATAAGTGCCGCACGTCGCCGACCTTCCGGACGGAACAATGGCTTCTATAGAAGGACACTGAGTGTAGAACGAGTTGACGAAGAAAAAGGTTTCAAAGTTTTCGCCTTGCTAATTTGCTGATTCAGAAGCTCTAAAGTTCCTATTTTCCAATTTTGGTGAAACCTTGGTACTACATCTGAATGAAAGATGTAGTGCCAAGGTTACACCAAAGGTTACTCTCACAGTTCTAATCTTAAAAATTGCAAGTCTCTGAATTCCAAAATCCTACTCTACAGAAAGTCCTAAATCCAGAGCTGAAGTACCATGTCGACTCTGCGAACCTATTTGGTCCCCACAGCGAAGCACGGTTGAAGTAGCAAGTTGTCGCAGCAAGAAACTTCCTAACTCCATATTTCGCCAACTTCATCATAACATCTCGGAGCCATGTCCGCCGCTTCCTGTAGCACCGGAGAGGACTTGAAAAGGAGAAAAACGCAGGAGATCCTCTGCGCAAGTAAAGGGCAAGAAGAATTTGTATGCGTCGCCGAGGACATGGCCAAACTAGGCTGAAGTCCGCGGTGCCTTGCATCTCCCTCGATGGAATCGCAAAAACCGCGTGCCGAGTAAAAGAGAAGCAATTTCAAGGGATGGACACGGAGGGAAGCTGTCGCCTGCTCGTCGAGCATCTTCAACAAGAAGAAGTTTAATTTGAGAAAATGTCGCTAAAGATCGAGCGAAGGGGTACCGTGACAAAGAGGAGTTTGTGTAGCAGGAATTCCTGGTAATCGTGCCGTAAATGATTCACCGGCATCGCGTATGCAACTTTAATACCATTTCGCATTCAAAGCGTTACATCCCTGAAACGAGGCACCCTACCAAGCACATTCCAACCGCGGGACACACCTGTGGACATTTGTCCGTGCCGTATGCACGCGTAACTGTATAACGGACTGATGCTGGAATTCTCTGAATTTTATAGAATTCGTTCTCGTTAACATGCAGATAAAGTTGCTTAGGAAATGACTTGTATTGACAAGGTTAGATAAGGTTAACAAGGTTAATGTAAAACAAGATCTTGTTAGAAAGTAAGAAAGCAGTATAGTGGATCATATATTAAGAAAGTGTAAAGTACAGTGAATACATATTTCCAATGGAATCTTGTCGGGTTGAACAATATTAATAATCCAATAAAATATAATTAGACGACAGATTTATTTTAACCATTAAATGCATGATTTTCTAATTTTACCAAAAGTTATCAACTAACAAAATACTTTGAAAGCGGTCGATTCAAATTAAAACGAACAGAGGACGCTATTGTGTATTTGATTGGTACGTGGCATATTGCAACACCACTCATTGCAGGTTTCCTACATTTTGTATATAATTTATAAGATTAAAACTGGTATGCTGCATTTATACAACCATATGCATTTAAGGGTTAAACAGACAATAAACATTGTAAGACCTCAAGGTGATTCATAAAAAAAATATGTTAATCGAGTCGAAAAGGACAATTAAGCCCGGCAGTGGCAAAAACCATTGGAAGGAAGATTTTCGTCGCGAACAAAGCTGGTTGCGAAGAAGGTCCGGCAAAAAGGGGTAACCAAGGGGTAAAAAACAGAGGGGGAACAGCAAGTGGAAAGGTCCGGCGAAGAAGATGGATAAGGTTCGGAAGCAATGACATTCGTTTCGCGTGCTGACGCCCCAACTATACCGTAGATGGTAGCGCGGCGGAGTGTCGAACGTCCGAAAATGGCCGGTGATTCCTTCGACGTTGGACTACCGTGGATTTAATACGGGGACCGTGGTCGATGGAACGCTCGCTATGGCGAGATCGTGCCCTGATTTATGTCGTGGTGCGAGCAATCCGAAGGCCAAGGTCCTCGTCCACCTACTATGGTCAGGATGACATTTCGAGTCGCGACGCGACGTACGCGTAAATCGTGCCGCGAGTTTATTCGCTCCATGAGAATTCCGCGAACGACGTGGTTAAATCTAAACTCAAGCCCTGACGTTTGATAAAAAATTTTTACCTACGGACTGATGATAATATCGACTTTAAATCTTAATTAGAAGGATGCAATTATACGGTACATAGTTTAGTCTTCTCCAAAGATGAATAAAAATAATTTTGTACAGAAAGTTTGATGAATCGAACATACTATGAAGTGTGTACTATTTACGTGTTAGTATTACATACAGTCTTGATATGAATTTTTGCGGAGTGTATGCATGTTTGTAAAACGATATGATAATGAGTTCTTTTCGGGGTTGGGTTCGATCACCAATAATGCAGTCACGGTACAGTTGCAGTTTGCGCAAATGTCATTGAAGGTTTCTCAAACGAACCGTAACAGTATCGTGACTAGACCGTCGGTATTCTACTATGTTACGCGACATTTGGTATACCCTCGTAATTCCTGCTCGTGCTGCTACTAAGCACGTTCAAATCAAATTAGACGGAAATTTAATTGTATCAGCGTGATTCAACGAAACGAACCTCGACATGCGACTCCCGTCTCTTCCGCGAAGAGACCGTTTTGAGAAATCTTGATCGTACCACCGATCTACTTTGTCATTATTGAAATCGTCAGAATGAGATCTTCCAAAAGTGCCAAGGTTACTGCTCTCTGATTTTATGTCTCAAGTGTTTTTTCAAGAAATCTTATTTCAGTCTCCCGATTACGGGTGCTCGAGTTTTCAATAGGTTAAAGTGGAAACACGAAGCAAACGAGGCTAACGTGTTTCCTGTTGAGAACAAGCGCTTTCGTAACTTCATACTTATGCTAATAATTGAACAAGTACAAAAATTTCGTGTAAAATTCGGTTGCATATTTGGTCTCAGAATAATGTTGCAGCGAAAAATGCAGCTGTCGTAATAAACTTGGAATCATGGGTAGAAAGTGTCGAATATTTTAGAATTCAAAGTATTCTAATGATCGTAAAATTGAACAGTAAAAGTTTTAAAGCATGGACAATGATAAATTCGAGTCGTATTGAGCCGAGAATTTCTCTATACTTGAACGGCGGTTAAATTTCCATCTCCCCGGTTTTAGCGAAGTGTATGTTCAACGAGTAAGCGTGTTTGCTCTGAGCAAACAGTGAAAGAGAGAGTATAATTGACCCACGTGTAGCTCGCGGTTCGCGTAAAAGGCTTTCCAAATTCTTACATCTTATCGAACTTGTTATTCTCTGCTCTGTTTCATTTTTACGTAAAATCTCCTGTGTAAAATATTTACAAAATTATATACATCTAACGTTCGTGGAATAAATTAAAATCATTCAATTAACTCGGGAAGCTGTAAGCTTACATATAATACTGTAGAAATGTAAATGAGTCTTCTCGGTATTAATAAAAAAGGCATCATGTTAATTCGTACGCTTAATAAAAAATGGAAGGAAAGGAACTTTATGTTCGGCTCTTTTTTCTCTCGCATACATTCGTGTCCCGAACATTATTTTCCTCGCAAGCAATTTACTCCGTCCAGGTTAAAATGAATGAAAAAACAAGAGGCAGATCGTTCGTGGGAACCAGTACCTGTATTACAATCTCATTCACCGATTCACCGTGTAATAATTTCATTACGCGTTCGAACGGCATGCTGCGAACCTGATCCAACTGCTCCCAGACGATTTGCACCAGAAGACGATAACCTTAAACCATTGACTGCTTCTTTCTTGTCCCTTTCGATACACGAAGCGTTGATACGTGTCATCGCCATTGGCGTAACTGGAATTTTGTGGACCAGGTATAACACCCATGTGTTACCAAATATTTTATCGTCAGATCTTTACATTTTCCAAATTTACGGATTTTTACGAATTTCCACTTTTCCAGACTTCTACATCCCCAAATTTCCACGTTCTCAAATTTCCACGTCCCCAAATTTCCATCTTCCCAAATTCCCACATCCCCAAATTACCACGTCTCCAAATTTCCACCTTTCCAAATTCCCACATCTCCAAATATCCATCTTTCCAAATTCCCACATCTCCAAATTCCCACGTCCCCAAATTTCCACGTCCCCAAATTTCCACGTCCCCAAATTCCCACCTTTCCAAATTCTCACGTCCCCAAATTTCCACGTCCCCAAATTCCCACGTCCCCAAATTTCCACCTTTCCAAATTCCCACATCTCCAAATTCCTACGTCCCCAAATTTCCACGTCCCCTAATTCCCACGTCCCCAAATTCCCACGTCTCCAAATTTCCATGTCCCCAAATTTCCACCTTTCCAAATTCCCACGTCCCCAAATTTCCACTTTCCCAAATTCCGATATCCCCAAATTTTCACATCTCCAAATTCCCACATGTCCAAATCTCCACTTTCCCAAATTCCTACATTTCCAAATTCTCACCTCCCTTAGAACTCACATCCCCAAATTTCCACTTTCCCATGTGTAATGATGTAATTCCTACACCTCCAAATTCTCACCTCGCTAGGTACTCACATCCACAAATTTCCATTTTACCATGTGTAATGATGTAATTCCTACATCTCCAAATTCTCACCTCGCTAAGTACTCACATCTCCAAATTTCCTCTTTCCCAAATTCCTACATCTCCAAATTCTCACCTCCCTAAGTACTCACATCCCCAAATCTCCACTTTCCCGAATTCCTACATCTCCAAATTCTCACCTCCCTAAGTACTCACATCCCCAAATTTACAGAGCCTAAACTTCGTTACCCAAATTGAGTTACGCCAATGTCCGCGAGTCGGAAGAAGAAGACTTTCACGGAATTTATTGCCGACCAACGGTAGGTCGTTTATCGCGTCTCCCGTAATTTCCAGCTGAATCTATCTCTCTTTCGCTGTTGGTCTGTGTCGCGCAATATCTTAATGCCGTGATGAGATCATCGAGTGATTTATTGTCTCCCTTGTGCAATGAGGAGCAACACGCGGTCGTCCGCCCACTTTGCCGGTTTCTAACGAAACGATTCCGCGATCCGTGCCTTCCTGTCGCGACTTTGCGAAATCAGGCGGACCACGGAGACGTAAAAATCGCATCGCGCGTTAGCTCGCACGGGTTATTGCACGCATTGTGTTCGAGACCGTGACGCAATCGTATGTGGGACGAAATTGGGAACCAACGTGGGCACAGGACAGGGTCTCGTGATACGAATCGTGGAAATCTGGATGAAGGACTAAGCGTGAGACAACTAAGGGTTGATTGTGTATTAGATATGCACGAAGCGAGCTATTAATGCAGGCACTGGATGTTTTTTGTCTTAAAACGATAAAAAATTCTTTACAAAAAATGATCGTTCACGAAAGTGGCTCCGAGGGAATAAAAAATTGAGAAGCCCTAATTTAAGGATAATGAGCGCTGCTTCGAGATATGTACTGCCAATGGGTATCTAATTAAGGATTCATAAACCGTGTGTATCATTAGTACTCATCGCACGTAACGATCGCAAGAAACGCGAAATAATCAATAACCGCATTCAGAGGTAAAAGTCTCGGCGTCTATCGATTACCATTCGCCGTCCAATCAGACACTTAACGACCACTTTCGCGGTCAAACGAGATACTGATTGATTCGCTAAATAACAACTGCACCCAATTTCCTTGGAAAACTCGACGTTCAATCTTCATCGCGGACTTCTTCTATTTCCAGCCGTGAATTAACGAGCCTTAATTGACGGGATTAACTCGGCTCGAAGCGTGAAATCATAAAGTTAATCATTACGAAGACTCGAGGTCGAGTAGTCACCTGGCTTCTTCACCGGCATCCGTTAAACGCTCTTCTTTTTTGTCCTTTCTTCTTGTCGTTATCTTCACGGCGTTATTTCCGTCTCTATCACTGGTTCTTCGTCGCGTCGCTCTTCATTAGACGCGAATCGCGAGAGAGCTGCGACCATTGGAGGCATCTAAGTGTCCATTAAAGCGTTCGCCAGACGCAGATCGCTGGAAGCGTTTGCTATATTTGTGTTGGGGCTTGATGGCTACCTCTGTCAGGTAATCTGTTAGCGCGCGAGAGAATTCAGAATTATCCGCTGGATAATGAACCGAGATTAAGACCGCTACTACACGTGGCTGAGTTAATAGAGACGGACATTGTGGTGGATGTGGCGCAAGTCGGATGGAATGAAGATATTAGTTCCAGGATGAAGCATTTCTTGTTTCGTTGGTGGAAACTTTATTTATTGCCACAGGGTTAAAAATGCATCCCCGAAAAATTGTACGATTACAGATATTCGAAGAACAAATCTATATTGATGACATGATAACCTCCTTCGAATAACCCCTTGCACTATGACTTATCAGGTGCGTCAGTCAGAACTGACTAATTACAGCTACAATATTAAAACAGACAAAAAAATTGAAATGTTATGTCAATATGTTATTATTCAATCGTTGACTAGGCAAATTATAATTGCACTTGATCTCCAAATTAAAGCGTATTCAAAATTTGAGTAAAATCGATCACGGCCGAGGTACGAGTGCGTCACGAGTCAGTCTCGTCAAAATAGTGCAAGGGGATAATTATTCTTTCATCTTTCCTAAAAGACTACACTATTGAATCCCGCGAATTGCGACGATTCGATCCAAAACTTTCGCACGGTTATCATCGATAGGTCGGCGATTAACCTCGAACTCTGACCCCAGTCTGTCTAGAATCTCTGAAGAGTCGTTTGTAAATTGCGATCGAATGAATATTATCTTTCAACAGAATTTGTTCCGAACATTTAAACGAAGAATAAACAAAGATGAAGTAAAAAGGTGCTTAAGAGGAAGCAAATATTCTCCCAAGTTTATGTTCCATTAAACACCAACTATTTGTCCCCTGTTCCATAAAACAACTCCCGCGGGACATATACGCGAAGCAGTGTATTCGAGATCCATTACCCGAGTTCTAGCGTTGCTGAAGCCGTGCGTTCGTTCACCAGCTGTCTGTCGGTTGTTCGTTCATAAATTTCAGTCGTATCCCAGCAGCCACAAGATCCCACTTGGTACTCTTCGTGGTCACGTGTCCGTCGCTTGAATTTACACTGTATCGTGTGAAACGACTGACCGTATTCCAAGCGTGCAATTCGAACTACGCTTCTTTGCAAGATTTATCGTCGTAAGTAATGATGTCGGATATAACCGAAATTAATTCGTGATGCAGCGTCAAAACAAAAATTTTAATTAATAAGGCGAGATCTTATTCTTTTACAATATTAGTACAACCATGATATCAGTAATTCTTCAAATTTCTCTTACCACCCATAATTTTTGTATGTTTATAAGATTTAAAAAGTTTAAGCCTAAATTATAAGCGTCCTCGAAGGGCTACACCATTCGCCGTAACTTTTAATCGGACCCCGTAAAACGGCCGATAGTAGGAGTAGATAAAGAGGAACATTAGCAACTAATGAGATCGATAAGTCTGCGATGGCTACAGATTCGAAGGAGGCGGTCCAAGGGGCTGGTCGAGCATGGCAAAGTTACTCGGTTTGGTAAACACGACTGAGCGTTTCGCGGGAATCGTTAAATCGGTCGTGCGGAAAACGAGTTGTATTTAATACACAATATTAACGAGAGCAGTTCTTTGTACGTGGGCAAGTTATACCGGAATAACTTGTTCCACGATAGGTTCCCACTCCTCGGTGAACGATTGCTAAACCACGAGTAAAGATACAATGTCACGTGCTCTGCTTGCCAATTAATCTTTCTTCCTAGACTACGATCGTCCCTTCCTCCGAAGAAAATTTTCTTAGGAGGCTGTCGATGTACAGTAATATCGATGACACCTATTTTACTGAGCTGGATTAAGGGTCCATCCGAATTCTAGTCTCAACTTGTGTCTTGAAGCGTAGAAGACGCAATTGTCTCCGACAGAAACACCCTTCCTCCGACGGTAGAAATTTCACTGTTCGCCCACGAGGCGATAAGTGAACCTTTCCTCATCGAGCATACAGTTGGAATCGTTAACCGACTAACAGCTACGTCGAGGAATCCGTTTCTCCCGGAATCCTAATCGATCGTTGTTCGATCTTCGCCGCGTACGAGACAATGGAACGAGAGTCGCGCGGAATACGAACAAGAAACGAGCAGGAAAAGCGTCGAGCAGAGGGGGTGAGAGCGAAGCGTTTCGACGATTCACGACCTCGAAGCGACAAACGGGATCGTCGTGGTAGCAAGATGCAGTCGTGAAGAGCTACTTCGTTGTTCCTTTGCTCGTGTCCTCTTCGTCCTTGTCGTCCTCGATCGTACCCTCTTTCTCTCTTTCCTCCCTGTTGCGACGACAACTTTTTACCCGCCGCGAGGTTAACATACTTCCTGCCCCGCGACGGGCTGAAATTCCTCGCGATAGTCGTCACGATACGCAGTAAGAAGCTAATCGAGCTGCCTCCAGCGATCCTCCGGGAGGAACAATCTCTGCGGGGTGTCGAAAGAACACTATAGCTTTTCAGATTCGTCTCGAGCACGATGAAAGTTCTACGACGTTCGCGTCGTGATTGCTTAACGAACTGATAACGATGGGGTATTCACGTGAGATTCTGCGGAAGATAAATCGAAGGTTTTTACCTTGAGGAACGACGTAGACAAAAGTGTCTGTTTTTAAAATTATGCCGACACTGTTATTTCAAATTAATTCCCGTACGATGTTATTCTTATTTTTAATAATTGAATGTCGTGTTTATTTTAAACATGTCATGCGAGATAAGAAATCGATTCCTCCAGGTTTCGCATTATCAACGTCCGTGACAAGAGCGACGATAATTCTGTATCAGATAACTCTTCCGTTACAGCGATTCATTATCCGCTTGTGTCAATCGTCGACCGTTAAAGGGACAATAACCCTGTCCATAATCTTGTACGACTGCAACACAAAAGAAACTTCCGTTCTCGACAATACCCCTCGATCGCGAGGCAAAAGGAAGATAGCTTCGATTATTAATCTTCGATCGCAAGGAGGATCTTCGAGGCAGCTTACCATCCGACTTGTACGGCTACATTGTTCCAGCTTGACCCCGTGTTCTTTGGTGAATAGCGGTAAATTATTCCAGCGATCCCGACAGGCTAATAGAATAACGCGAGGAGAAAAGGAAACCGAAGAACATCTCGCGACAGGAAGTTTCACCGCGGGGTGTCCGAACATCCACGGGGTCAGCCGCCATTTTGTGCACGACGCGAAAGCCTCGAATGATTGACACCGTCCTCCTTCGACTTCGTGCCTTGGCGAAAGGCAAGTGTTAATTAGAGGCTGTTGTCGTTTGTCGAAGAGAGAGAAAACTTGGCCATTGTTTCCCTGGCTGTTTAAAGAATTAGCGAAGATTGATGAGGTTCACCCTTGTCGATCCTTCTTTGTCATTGTCGTAAGGTGCAATGGGTTCTTTTGTTCGAGTATTTATGAAAGAATTTCGGGTGCAAAAAATGATATTTTCGGTGCTTAGGCTAAAGGTATCAAAAAGTTCGAGTCAATTAGGGGATGAGATTTATCACCGCCAGCTCTCTCCGAAGGATATTAAAATTTAATTTAGATTAGAACCCACAGCTGTGTATATCGTGTTACCACCCACAGGAACATCAAAGACGATCACTCGAGCTGGAACGAGACACTTACAGCCGAACTTTTTCGTAGCTCGCCACCGATGAATCCCGATAACGTCTCACCGCGGACTACACAGCTACAAGTTTATATTTAGTACGCGTCCCTTCTGTCTCGATCGCGATGTTTTCGTGCACACAGCTCCTCTCGAGCAGTAAATCCGTGGAATTGCTTCTCTCGCGTGTCAGACCGATTCGCCCTCGGAGGCGATGCGGTGAAACACGTGGTCGATAGCGGTGCTTCGCTCGTCAGAAATCCTGTAACGCTGACGACAGATGAGGTGGGAGGGACTTGCATCAGATAAAGGATAAGTATTTGTTTGAGTTTCTGCTACAGTCCTTATCGGGACTAACGGGCCAATTTATGGTTCGATCTTCGGACAGTGCGGAGATAGCGAACAGATGTTAGACCGCCACCTCTTCCTTTCGCTCTGTTACGGTCATTCTCCTGAAGACTATTTCATAACGATACGAGGTTCTTTTGATTAAATATCTGCGGACTTTGGAAACAGATATCGTAAAATGTTTGATGTTGATTAATCGCTGAAGAGTTAAAAATGTGATTAATTTCAATTTTTAAAATTTGTCTCCTTTATTCAGATACACAAGACTCGGTTAAGTCGTGCAACGTCTACTTTTTCTAAAACTCGCAACCTGTACCGGATACCTCGGACTAATTCAAGTCTGGTCATTAGAATTCCACAGGACCCGTCATTTACCAGTTTCGAGGCAATTTCACTCGTGTCAGAAACGACGAAGCTTGATCACCGGAATCCGAAGATAGCCACCGATTGAAATTATAGTAATTACCAGGTATCTTAGCCAACGATTCTTTTCGCCTTAGCTGGACGATTACGTTCGTGCTGACACAATGATCGGTCACCCCGAGGTGCGCCTGAAACGAAACATCGACCACCTTCTCGTCGATGAATAGGCACAAATTGTTCGACATTTGCGGAAGATCGTCCAACCGATTGTTTGCTTCCATGAAACAACCCGTTTCTAAACGCGTCCTCGCTCCAGGAATTCTATTTGCGGCCGGTAAACGTTATGCATCAACCTCGGTCTTGGAGGTGAAACGTTTCGATTAGGGCGGAGTCCGATCGATTCAATCAGATTCGATCAAAGAGATCGTTGGAATGTAACGGTTAACTACACATTCGGTTTTGTTTATTTAATTTCTTCGTTCTCTTTACAAAGTGGTTCAGATTATAAATCGATACGATCGATTTGATAAGATAATGCGATATTCATCTCTCCAGAGATTTGCTTCGATTTCTACTTTTCTACGTAACGATTTGCTCGACTGCATGATACTGATTGTAATAATCAATTTGCATGCTCATGCTGGCTGTGCACTTTTATGAAGCTCTCTGTGGTGATTGATGGTTTCATTTTGAGAAAGTGATATTGGACTGATTTGTCGAGGTGCTTTGTAATTTTTTGAGAGATATGAAAAACTGTAATAAAGTTTGTCCCAAGCACTGGAATTAAAAATAGTATTTATTGCATCAATCTGGTGTATGATTAGTCATAAATTTGTGTAGTAATAAGGTTGAAACCGATATTAAAAGTCTAAAAATTTCTTGTCCGAATAAAGATTAAGATTATGGCACATTTGGTGCACGTAATATCCCGTGCTGGCCTACTAAACGACTTCACGATCGTCTCGAGCGATCGATCGCGGTCTTCAGGTTCGGTAACGCGATCCCCAGTCAATAATATTGCGACTGCATACGAGAAACGCGTGGAGAGGATGAAAAGAATTGTCGATCGATTCAGGGTTTCGATTAACGATCGCCTTCGATTGCTCTTAAATCTTGAGGGAAAATACGGTTCACGCCATTACGCGGCTATCTTGTCTTTAATTAAGCGAATTAATATTCGTTCGCTCGGATATCTCGTTCCATGGTTTTACCAGACATTTCCGAGTTCTTTCCTCCTTCTGCTTGTGCTTTTCCCGACGTTTTATGGACGCCTTCCGTTCGCCCGATCGAGCGTGCACCGCATGGGAATGATCTTTTGGATCGGATTTCTATGCTGAAAGTGAAACTAATGAAATGTGGCCCGTACAAACGCGCTACTAATCGGAAGCTTTGCCCACCGTGCACTTTTTTCCACCACGGTGGTATCGTGTTCGCGAACGCTTTCAAAACGTTCAAGTATTTTAGAAAGTGTAATTTATCTTAAATACCTTTGGCGTTTGTTCTTGTCGAATTCGCAGATCTGCGATTACAAAACACATGAGGAAAGAAGTGGTACTGTTTTTGATAATGTTATCGATAAGATTTCACTCGAAATTCAAAGTTAAATAGGTTCGATCCTACTGCTCGGTCACTCTAACGATATCGGTATCAATAACATCGATAATTGACAGCAGCATTTTGAACCAGTCTGCATTATATTTCTATGCCACTGTGGCGAAGGATTAAATAAATCGAATCGTTATTTTAAATGGACTCGTTCCAGAGTGAGAAAAAAATATTGCTATTAAAGTCTGAGTATGCGTTTGACTAATTTATAAGTATACTGTTTACTGCATATTATTATGAATAAATTAGGATCTGTATCAAAGGCCAGGTTACGAAACGTAGAAAGTCTGACACCATTTGATGATCTAAAAGTATTGCAAGATACCTGCATGTAAGCTTAAGATTCTTGTACCTTCTATACAAGTCTTATAATTCTTTTCTATCTTTGACAGCAACGGAGTTATATTTCGAACCTACATACCATACATACTGCGATAGAAAATTGTTCGTGATACCAAATAAAGCTTACTGTTGTACGCTTTCGAAATTAGTAACTTCGATAGTAAATTACTGCAGTTTAGCTGTGTATATGCTTGAGAGATAATTGTCGTGTTACCAAATAGAGCTTAGTACGTGTGGATTTGTGGAAAGTAAAGTGATAAAAGGGTTAAGGAATAACTTACCGAGCGATCGTCGAGGCAGAGAGCGGTCGAGACGGTGAGAAGCAAAACGATGATCCAGAGGGCCGCATTTGCCCCCGACAGTGGAGCGATCATAGCCGGTGGATGGTAGGCTCCCAGTGGGGGCAACCAGCGCAGACAGTTCGACGACGTCGAGGACGTGCTCGACGACGAAGCGGGCCGGTGCTCCTGTCGCGGATGCATCGCTTCATGATCGCGACGTGCCGCGTGTTCGTCCCTCTGTCGACGCAACGCGTTCTCTTCTCTCCTTTCCTCGTTTCACCCTTAGCACACCCACCTTCCCCTCGCGGCCTCTTTCTCTCTCCTGTTATCCGCTTCCTCCGGTCTCCTCCGGAGAACGCGCGCGTGTGATTCTACGTGCGTGAACTCGCGAGCCCGCGCGGGTCTATAAATACGAGCGCGACTCCACCAGAAGAATTTCAAACAACCGTGCCATAAAACACCATGAGTGGAAGAAGTCGACCTCGAGGAGGGGCTAAATCCTCTTCCCTCGACGAGGACCCACCGAGGGAAACGAGAAACGGTGCTTCAAAACGACTCCGCTACTCGCCGAGCTTTCCTCCTCGTTTCGTCCGTGTGCCTCTGAAAGCATCGATCAGGAACGAGCCTGTTATTATGCTTTTCCTGGATGCTTGCGGTTCGAGTTATTAACTCTAACTAGCTACTTTCGTGTTGCTTGTTATACGCATCGACTCTTCGGACGCGAATAAGCGTGGGAGCGTGCAGGGAAAGGGCCATTAATTTTCGGCAAATAAGCTTGGAAATATTTGGAAATTTCAGAAATTTCGATCTTTGAATTTTATCGGGATTGCTGCAGGGACAAAGGCAATTAGAAACGAAGGAAGTAGATTCTCGTTTTGCTTCTTCGATTGTTAACGAACTGCGAACCATCAGTGCGCTAATTGTGCCAATTAGCTCGCTGGTTATTGAAGTTCGTTAATCGAGGTACAATATAGATCATGAAGTACTTCATATCCTTGAAACCTTGATTTATATTCATTGTCAGTGTTCATACTTCAAATTATTCACTAAGATATTTTTAAAAGCTCATACCAGTCTAATATCAAAAATGAAATTGAAAAAATGTTACTTGACTCAGGATTCAATTAAACAAACTCGTGCAGAACGAGTTAATAAAGTACGTGAGCGAACAAGGTTGCAAAAAGAATCACCTCGATATTTCTTATATCAGTAATTACGAAGCGCAACTGCCGAGTTCAATTTATCATTTGCCTGTCGAGTTAGATACACGATCGATCGCGAGCGAGTTCATTGGTGAACTTTAACGGATAGAAACAATCGACGAGTCATTGAATTGATGGATGGAGCGGAAGTAGTCGGGTGTGTAGGATTACAGTAGGAGGATCTCGCGAGAAGAATCGTACGTGTGGGATACAGGTGGCGAGTCACGTTCTCTGGCAAAAAGATACCAGGATATTACGAGCCACCACGCAAACTAACCGACGGTGTACGCGTTACGATTCTTTACATAACACTGCGAAAGTGGATACGATTCACGAGCTAGCGTGTCTCTCTTGTTTCCTCGAGAATCGGAGAATCTATGTGCTCCAATTACGAGAACTAAGTTAGGCCAGAATTATCGGACCACAGATATTTAATCTGTTCGAAGTCTAGTATGCTGCTAAAATCAGGTGTAGATGGACAGATAATCTGTTCGCTGATACTTAATCTGTCTAGCAATACGCTAAAAACAAATTAATAACACAACTTGTGGGAATTTAATGATATTAATTTTGGTATTTGACGTTTACAACCCCTGAGTTTTAGCATACCCATACTTGACACAATTTTACTTTCTAAATATTCAATATAAAGCAAATACCTTATACATCCTATTCACTCTTCAAGATGAACCTTCCGTGTCACTCACAATTAAATGTCCCGTCGACACAACCTCACAAACGTAATTTTTACAAAATGTCACTATCTTACTATACAGAAGATTCTTTACTAAAAAATTCACGTAAATGATTCATCTCGAGACAAGGTTCCTCGAAAAAGCGTTTCGCGCACCGTCGACTATCGTTCTCTCGGCTCGGAGCTCTCTTCGAGATC